TTTCCTTTACTTTTTTCCCGCTAATTTCCTACTGCACCCAGGCTATTATCACAAAGTCTACTTCGTGAATAATTACCTAGATAAACCATATGACTGATCACATTACCATGGGCTTGGATTACTTCAAGGAATATCCTTGTGGAGAGCCACTTTGTATTTATGATTTTGGCAATCCTGCCTTGCAGATTTACTTCTTATGTTTCTGTATTGTATTTTAAATGTAAAGGCAAAATAAATGATAGTTGTCGAAATCAGGAACATCATTAAACTTATCAGCACTAGTACTTATGATTCACTGCTCTACTTAAGTATAACCTCAAAAGATTGATTTTTAATAAATAGTAGTTGTCTGATTTTAATTGTTTGCATGAGCTTGAAAAATCTATAAATGTTAAAATAGAGATGAATTTTACACAATGAGATACTATTAATCATTACCACAGTATTTTTCAAACATGTTGATACAGATAGCACTTGATGTAGGCCTGTGTTAGTCCTTAATTTTGTCCAATCTATCAAATTTTATTTGACAAAAACATGTGACATGCCTAAATATGGTCATGATGACATCACATCATGACCAAATAGAGGCACATCATGAATATATTTGCATATAACAGTTTTTTTTTTCTAGAAAAAGCTTTACTGTAATTTGAAACTAAATTATAATTGTGTGCTTGATATGTTGGCAACAGACCACATTAGCACCAGACACAGAAAACATCATACTAGATTTTAACACTGTCTAGTCTGAAGAAGTGACAACTTGCAACTAAGTTATTACCTTAATGGTAATTGGCGGTCAGTGGGTTTAATATTAAGCGCTGACTCAGCGTTAAAAATGAAGTAATGTATTAAGGTTCTGTGCAAAGAATTATGGAAAGTATTATTTATGCATCCATTAATTGGGGATTACAATTCTTTATCATTCTAATTTTCAATTGAAAACTAAAATCCTTACAAAATAAATTCAAATTGGAGAGTATAATGCTGTACTGTACCTACTCCAAGTATCAAAATGCACGCCATCGTGTCAGGATTCAATATTTTGACATTAATTATGTCATCATCAGGAATGAGCAGAAATTCAAATTGTTTTCTCAAGTTTTGATAACATTATTATAAACATTTTATGTTTAAAAAAAAATGATATTAAGCAAAGGAAATGTACAGTATCTTATACTGATTCCTTGTTTCGCGTACTTATTTTTTTAAAGATCATCGGAGGAGGGCAGAATAAAATTTTGTTTTCTAATTTAGCAAATAGTTTTGCCAAACGCATCCAGATGGCGGAGAAAATAAAAATATAATTTTATTGGTGAATGTAAAATAGAATGGTTAAATGCTTCAAATTTATATAATTAGTAAGAAATATACATATCTTACCTTTGGAGATTTCAAGGCAGCGGGGGGTGTAATGAAAATGTTTAAAAACTTTTATTTTTTTCTGAAATATCCACTTTTTCTTGGTGGCATGTGCATCTAATTGGTCAAAAATAAAATTTCATTTTTATCCGAAATCATCAATGTTTGCAGTCAGCGGGTTGGCTAAATAAGGTATAAACAAAGTCTCATCTTAGCAGTCATCATTATACTGTATTCATCATTCCAACAACATATCATTATTTGTATTAATAACTTTTCATTACTATTAGGTATTCAGTATTGTTTTTTATAGTTTCATAAAATTAATAACTTTAAAAAAATAAATAAATGTTAGTTTGTTATAAATATTATAATTTATTTCAGTCATTTTATTTTAGTTGACTGGGTGAAACAAAAGTTCCTGTAAATTACATTTAAATACAAATAAATTTGAATTAATGATTGTGTTATGTTTGTGTAATAGCACTAATTTATACATTCTAACTGTATGTGCCTTCCATAGTTATAGTTTATGTTTGTGTAATAGCACTAATTTATACATTCTAACTGTATGTGCCTTCCATAATTTGGCCCTGGAGTCCCTTTATCAGCTACTCAATTTACTGTGTGCTCTTGTAAATCAGACAGCTAAGAAATTATCCATTTTATCATCATTTTTTATTAAGACAGAGTACAAAAACATACTCTTTTCTGATATTTCCTCCCCCTCCTTAAATAGAAAAGTTTTACACTGATACACCTCTCTAATCATGTGTTTGCATTATATATATATTTGGGTATATTTTATTGAGATAAAAAAAAACATCGAAAACACAATCTTTGGCAGCATTAAGCTGAATTGTAGATTGGGTAATTACAATAAAATCTATAAAATTTTTGATAAGACTAATAAATGTACAGTATATAAAAATCATATTTTTCAATATATATATATTCTTCAATAAAATGAAAAAAGAGTTGAATCCTTTCTGTTCAGCAGCTTTAAGTATTTTTTGTGTATACATTATGTATTTGAATAAGAATAAATTGTTCTTGAAGCTAAAAAAGTAATAACAACTAAATTGTATAAAACCAAATTGCTAAAACATGGAATCCAAACATAGCGAGTCTCTCCGTGTTGATTCTCAAATTAACAGACTACTTACCCTTGTACATAAAACCTGATTCCAATTGTTGTGCCTCCTGAAATACAGTGCCCTATCCCCTGATCCCAAAATCATTGTATGGACAATTAAAAGATGCGTCTTTAGCATATTGCTGCCAGAATCTAAAGAATTCTCTCAGCTTTTAACAGACAATTTGAATTTAATGTTATCACTTTGCAATCCAATTACTGTAGTTTGGAAGTTTTCTAAGATAAGTAGTTTTTTTTTCTAAAAATATGATTTTTTTTTATCAAAATGTTTGAAGTTTTCAAGGGTATTTTATAAACTTTTATATATATATTTGGAATTGTAATTATGATCAATAACTATTTTTAATATAGCCAAAGCAAGAAAGCTTCTCATTATATAACATTCATTGGGGCAAGTAGTAAAGTGACTCTTCTGACAGCCTTTCTCCATTGTTAAAGAGTCTCAATATTTTTTGTTCCACAGTAATGAATACTACTAAAGTGACTCTTCTTGTAGATTTTCCTCACTGTTGCTAAGTCACTAGCATGTGCGTAGTTTGACAGTGATACAGTAAAGTAACATTCTCATTAACTAGGCGAGTCTCTCATGGTAAAATCATGGTAAATATGTTACATTCAAGCACTGTAAATTGCACAATTCCCCTGAGATATTTCACTTTCTGCTGACCATTATTGGCTTAGCAGTTCCTGTTAGCAAAATGAAAAAAATGTAATTCTTTAATCTCCAACCCTTCAACTATAAGTTGGTATAGAAGTGTAAAACATATTTAATTATGTGACTATTTTAAGGTATCTACAGCAAGTGAAAATTCAAATATTATTGTTAATGTTATTGCTGCGCTGTTGTGGTCGTTATTATTACAGTATCTATATCTTAAATCACTTAACGCCTTGGCGTAACTTCACCTATCTCCTTTGAAACCGCTGGCTGGAATGTGCTCAGATTCTATAAAAACTGGGGTTTCTATATGTCATGATAAGCTATTTTTCTAGGCTGGATGACAATGAAAAAAAAACAGCCAAA